GAGTCTTAGCCACTAGACCACCAGGGAAGTTCCAACGTAAATGTTATTTTTATAGTTAGAAAGCAGGTATTAGTTTGATGTAATTCCCCTATTCATTAGAAAAAATGACCTTCGTTTTTAGATTCTTCTTCTATTCAAATGAATATACTGAATACAACTGTGGTTTCCTTTTGCAGTTAAGTTAAAAATAACTCACCATACTACAAGCTTAAATATTTACTACTTCTAAACAAAGCTATACCATATTACCTATATAATAAATCAATCAGAATGATTCTTGTGCTTCCACTCCATTATTTTCAATTATATAATTACAAAAGACACAATCTCTTACCCAAAAATCTATTAATCATGTCATAATTTGGAATGTGGCCAAATCTAGTCACTTTCTGGAATTTTAAAGGGCTATATTAAGTTTAAATTGTACAGTATGTATGGAATCCCAGAATAAACCACAATTATGTGCAGTTCCAAGGTGTTTTGTTTGGTCTTTAAAGTTCACTTGAATAAGTATAAGCCATTTCTTAATACTGCACAGAAAAATTTACTCTATAAAAGCTTGATGAAGGACCAAACTCTGTATAGAAAGTAAATAAAATAATACTCTTTTATTTGCTCCTCTATTGGCCTCCAATAATGAAAATAAGAAGTTTCAGAATTTTAAGTAAAGGCAGAAAGACCAAATTCAGCCAGAAAATATAGCATTTCATTAAGCATAAGAGACTACATTATTTTTTTCAAGTCAGTGTTCTATGCTTAGGACAGTTTATATGAGTAAATACAGATTTATAATGCCAGGAAACAGATGGGTCATGTTTTGCTTTCCCAGGAAAGACCCTAAGGCCGAATATATATCAGAATGTGGCATATGATTATTTCAACAGTTAACTCAAGCCAGAGCAAAGCAACCAGATTGTTTTTGCCTTATTTTTGCCAACTTTCTAGTCTCAATGAAATAAACATTAGAAATGTTTAATAAAGGCCGTATTACATCTACTTAGAAATCAGAGCTAACAATTACATAGCAAAGGAAATTTTTCTTTGGGTATACCTGGATCTATATTGTTTTCCTCCCAGCAGAGCAACTTCTCCCACTGTGTATACAAAATCATAAAATCGTCAATGCTAGAAATTATACAGGCTGATACAAATGCTGTGAACACAGTTTGAGGCATAAGCCATATTCTTAGTAACCTTCCATTTAGCCCATATTACCTTGGCTCAACAGTGGTCAGCGGCTTTTAGATAGTGGAAAAATCTGAGAACATATACATATTTTACTGAATTGCTAATGATTCATCAATATTATTGAGGGAGAAGCAGGATTTCAGAGCTTAGACCTTACGGAGAGTCCACTGAATAAACCTGATTAAAGGCAACCCAGGGTTTAATTTTAAGTCCATTTAGATTTATCAAGTGTTTAAAAATATTAGTAGAATTTGAATGAAACTGACAGATTAACTGACTTCAGAAAAGAACAGAAATTGACCCATAATTGCACACATCTTGTTGTTATTCCGATTCCAGGAACACAGCTGATAAGAATAAGAGATCTATGTGTTTCCTCTGTCCATGAATGCTTTAATCACCAAAACTTAATAATCAGAGCACCATTCTTTTTTTTTTTTGTAATTATTTTGGGATGGTCCTCATTTGTACATGAAAGTGATACATTAAGGGTAAAACAAGAGGGGAGTAATCAATAAAGCTCGCATGGAGCCACTGGCTTTAATTTGTGCATGCTGTTTGAAACTGTTGAGACTAAAAAAAGAAAGCAAACAGCTTCAAAGGAAAGAACAGATATTCATAAAAAGAATAGAAAATACAGTATGACTGGATCTTCTACATAAGCAAACAAACTGCAACAAACAAAGGTTAAAAGTCACTGAGCAAAAATGAATGTTTATTAGATCTATCCTTTACTTTCTTTACTCAAAAAGGCTATTCCAGCTAGGTAGCAATGGAGTAACATAACAAAGATGAATTTAAACTAATTCAATACAAGCCTATTGAAAACTGCTGTTTGGTTGCTAAGTTATGTCTGACTCTTTCGCCACCTCACGGACTGTCGCGTGCCAGGCTCCTCTGTCTGTGGGATTCTTCCGGCTAGAATACTGGACTGGGTTGCCATGTCCTCCTCCAGGGGATCTTCCCTACCCAGGGATGGAAGCCCCATTTCCTGCAGTGGCAGGCAGGTTCTTTACCACTGAGCCACCAGGGAAGTCCTACGTACATGTAAACTGTGGCAAAATTGAAAAAAAATTTTTTTTCAGGCCTAGCACAAATCAACGTTTTCTATGATCTCCCCAGTTAATTATGATTTTGCTTAAGATTTGACCAGAGGCCACAAAACAGGCACATTTATTAATCAATTGCAATAGTATTCGTCATGTAAATAAGATTTGCTAGCCTTATTTCCATATGCAGCAATGTGGAAGTTTAGCGTTCTGGGTCACAAATGATAATATCTGGACCTTCTATTTTTTGTAAAAATAATTCTGCTTTTCGTAGCTAACTAGGGATTAACATTTATCACTTAGAATATTTCTATTAATGAAGTTGGAAGAATATTGCTCATTTATTTGAGTCATTTTAAAACTTCTTCTTAGAGCAGAATTATTTCATTTTGGGAAAACATCTAGAATTTCGCTAGCCAAAATGAACAAATGCAAGGTTTCTACAACTGGTAGGGAGCAATAGGTGATCCTCCTTACACTCCCGCAAGGAGTACATTCACTTCCTCAATCTAGTTTAAACTTTCAGTGTCAAATGAGGTGTTAATATAAAAATGGATTGAAAATAATGGTGTTGTCTACTTTCCTTATTTCACTCTTAAGGAATCAGACACAGAAGCAACCAATGAGGGAGTCCTAACTGCACCCCATGTTCTTGACTTGCAAGCCATGTCTTTCCCCATCATTCTATTTGTCTCTTAGAAGTGGGAACTCTAAAGCCTGAACATGAAATAAATTATTTATGGTCAATCTAGAACTCTCTTTGTCTAAAATTTGCTCACTCTGAAGAGTGAAGTTTCCTTACATGGTTCACCAACTAAAAGCTGCATGGATTGGGTTCCTTCCTAATTCTGTAGTCAGGGACTGATTTACATTGTTGACAAATGTACCTTGTAGAGTCTCAATGTTCAAAGATGTGGAAACAGTGAGAACTCATAGGCAAAGTTAATATACAAACTTTCAGTGGAGAATAAAGGCATGAAAAATCATAAGAAAATAGATTTTAAATGTCATGGATTTCTTTTTGAGTAATACTAAGGAGGCTGACTAACCAAAGAAAGTTTGTACAATGTAAATATTTTTTCCAGAATATCTTTTAGGTTTATTCATGAATAGCTATCACTTGCCCCTCCATGCCATGGCAGGCACCATATTTTTTTAATTTGTACTACAACAGGGAATTTATAAGAGTAGATTTATTATGTCTATTGTAAGCCTTAGAACATTAGATTCCATGATAACAGGTTCAATATAGCAAGGCACAAGGGATCATCTGACTAAAACTTCTAAAAGTTAGTATTTGACAGCTATTTTCACTCAGATATGATCAGAGGTATATCTAAAAACATGGGGTTTATTAATACTTTTAGAGTGAATATCTGAGCTATTTTCTACAACCCATAAAGTTCTACTTAATTCATAAATTTTAAATATTACCATTAACAACATCACTTCATGGCACAAAGATGTGGAAACAGTGAGAACTCATAGGCAAAGTTAATATACAAACTTTCAGTGGAGAATAAAGGCATGAAAAATCATAAGAAAACAGATTTTAAATGTAATGGATTTCTTTTTGAGTAATACTAAGGAGGCTGACTAATCAAAGAAAGTTTGTACAATGTAAATATTATTTCCAGAATATCTTTTAGGTTTATTCATGAATAGCTATCACTTGCCCCTCCATGCCATGGCAGGCACCATATTTTTTTAATTTGTAATACAACAAGGAATTTATAAGAGTAGATTTATTATGTCTATTGTAAGCCTTAGAACATTAGATTCCATGATAACAGGTTCAATATAGCAAGGCACAAGGGATCATCTGACTAAAACTTCTAAAAGTTAGTATTTGACAGCTATTTTCACTCAGATATGATCAGAAGTATATCTAAAAACATGGGGTTTATTAATACTTTTAGAGTGAATATCTGAGCTATTTTCTACAACCCATAAAGTTCTACTTAATTCATAAATTTTAAATATTACCATTAACATGAATAAACTCTGTTCACCTGCGAAGGAAATTGTGTCTACCTGATCTGACTAAAGGACTTCAAGAATTCTGTTCCTTTCAATTTCTTCTATGTATAAGCCAAAATAATGGTGGGGAAAAGACTATACTTTACATATTAAGATGCGAATTCTCTTTGTTTGGTTCTGTCATTATCTACCTTACTTATATTTCAAAGAAACTTATCTGGTAGTATTCTACTCACTAGACAAGTTTTATACAAAAAATATTCTGAGCAAAATCAGTATCAACAATACAAGCAGCAAAACATTAATACTATACAATATTTGTCAAGAGCTTCCTTTGTGTCAAAAATGGTGTTCATCACTTCACACATTTCTATCTTACTGATACTTATTACTTAGAACAGTTTTATAGAGTTATTATCATAGACAGAAAAACAGATTTGGACCTTAGTATTTAATACTCTTGGCTCGGTGGTAAAGAATCCACCTGCTAAGGCAGGACATGTGGGCTCTATCCCTGGGCCGGGAAGATACCCTGGAGGAGGAAATGGCAACTCACTCCATATTCTTGTCTGGAAAACCTCATGGACAGAAGAGCCGGGGGGCTATAGTCCAATAGGTCGCAAAGAGTCAGATATGACTTCGCAACTACACAAGTACGTATGTAATACTCTACCTTACCTCTATCTTCTATGCCTCCTGTACTTCATACTATGTGGTTATAGTACTCAGGGCAATGCTGACATTATGGAAACTTAATACTGAGATGTACAGAAAGGTTCTCACCTTAGACCAGTCACCCATCCGCCACACGTAGCATTTGGAGTAGTCCTCACAGTCTTCGGCCTCCCTGGGTCGGGTGGAGAGGACACACTTCTTTCTAGGGTTAGTACACCTCACAGTCCGGTGACGGACACCTTTGCCACACTTGACCGAACACTGGAAAATAACGTCAGAGACTGGATAAAGCTGATGATTAGGAGATACAGATTTGGTGATCAAATTACATTAGGAACTGGTTCTTATCTCTCATACACCTATCACCTACACAAAGGCCAGAATGAAGGCGATGCCCCAGCATCAGAAGCCAGACAGTGCTTCAGGCACAGTGCTAGAAATGAATGGGTTTCAGGAACACAGGACCATTACTACAGAGAGTTCTACAACAGAGTGACTGCTTATGAAAGACAGATAAACAGTGGTCAAAGTGTAAATCACTAACCTAATGCTGCTGCTGCTAAGTCGCTTCAGTCGTGTCCGACTCTGTGCGACCCGCAGACGGCAGCCCACCAGGCTCCCCCGTCCCTGGGATTCTCCAGGCAAGAACATTGGAGTGGGTTGCCATTTCCTTCTCCAATGCATGAAAGTGAAAAGTGAAAGTGAAGTCGCTCAGTCGTGTCCGACTCTTAGCGTTATAACTGACATCAAATTATCATATATAATTATGTAAGGAAATTCATTTTATTTTTAGTGAAGACTTAGTTTGTATTGGCTTTAAGAAATGCTTGTAAAAAAATGACAATTTCTAAGAGGATATAAAGTTAAAACAGAGAATATGCAGCAAAAACAAAAGTTTCTTTACATAATTATATACTTCTAGAAATCATCATTCTAAATGGTTGTTTGGGTTGAAAATATAATTCAGTTCAAAAAGTTCAGTTCATCTCATGAATAACTGATGCTTGATTAATGATGTGATATAACAGGTATGAGGCCTGTAGGATATAACTGACCTCCTCCTTTACATTCATGCTCCCCAGTAAGAAACACGTATAAAGCTTCCCAGTCTTACAAGAGTGTGCATCACTGATTATCTGGACACAGGAACAGTCTCCAGACTGAACTGGGTACGATAGCTGGGAGGGAGGAAGGGGCGAGAGACTGAAAACTCCAATTTATATTTATATCTGGAAAAGTTCCAAAGAAAGAGCTACAGCTATACAGTTAGCAAGGATGTAGCAGCAGATTTCAGCAGTTGTTTTTCAGAAAACTGAAGCATAGAACTCATGAGATTTTAAATATAATACATTTGGCACAAATGAGTCATTGTCTCATAATTTTTGGTTTGCATTTGAATGTCTTGAGCTTTAAGGCAGACTACACGTGTGATTTGGTATTTTAATATTTACATTAAAAAAACTTTTTTTTTCCAATGGGGCTTCCCTGGTGGCTCAGCGATAAAGAATCTGCCTGCAAGCAGAAGCCGCAGGAGATGAGGGTTCTACCCCTGGGTCAGAAAGATCCCCTGGAGAAGGGAATGGCAACCCACTCCAGTACTCTTGCCTAGATATTCCCATGGACAGAGGAGCCTTGCGGGCTACAGTCCATGGGGTTGCAAAGAGTAGGACATGACTGAAGTGACTTAGCACATTTTTTCCAATGGAAACTAATCCTGTTCTATAAATTCAATTTTTATATTAAATAAAAACAAGAGACATTTTTTAAATTGGTATATTACTTTGAGACATATTACTTCTTCCATCTGGTGCCAAAAATCTGTATGTTAGAATATTTCTGACCTAATCCCTCCTGAAGAGCTTGCAAAAGTGTTACACTTAAGCTGAAGGTAGTGTATTTCTGTTTCTCTGATGTTCATGTGAATCGTTTCTCCAGACCGAACTGATCCATTTTGATGTAAAACTGGTATACATCATACATGATGAAGAATCTTTTCAAAAAAATCTTTTTTTTAATGAATGAAGCATTCATTAATCCAGCATAATTTGTTCTAATGCTCCATGTTGGCAGCCACTGCCTGTCTGGAGATTTTGTCCAGATCCCTCTGTCCCTGAGGTGTTCAGTCTGCAACCATCCTTTTCTACCATTTTCCACCTTGCCAGGGCTTTGAGGACCTGGAAGGCTATGCTCTTAGAGTCTCTGCTGAAAAGGCTAGTAAAGCTCAGAAATAAGACAAGAGAAAGCTACACTATTTGCTAGTGTGTTTTTTTTGGTTGGGGTGGGGGGGTTGGGTTAACTGAAGAATATCCCCAAACCTCATTATCTAAGTTACTCTGTCCTCAATTTTCAAAAGAATGGCTACTTACTGCAGCTTCGCATTTTCAATTTGTCATTTTTACATCCAAACTAATATTTTGAAATCAAGCATATGAATATTTTGCCTATGGATATGCATGCACATGTGTCTTTGCACATGTATATTCGTACACAAGTGTGAGGGTGTTTGTGTGCATGCACCCACAAGCTCACCTAAAATGCTTTAGAGTGGCTAGTAAATATAAGTAATGACTGGTGTTAATCACCATGAAAAGACATGTACCATGATAACAGAAAACAAGCATACAGTTTGGCATGAGACAAAGCTGTTTGCTACACATTATAAGCTAGTGGGCACATATGCGGTGTTAGGTAGTGCTGAGGTCAAATCTCAGGTCCAGCACTTAAGTAGGACTTTGAGTAAACTAACTTCTCTGAGCCCAAGTACTATAAAATGTGAAACTTAACTTTTCTGCATTGGTGATTAAATATCAAACAGTTACTAAAGATGAGGTAAAAACAGAATCCCTGTTCACAAGAAATGACTGTTAAGTGTTAATATCCTTTCTTCTCCTTTCTCTTCTAAATGCTCAAGAGATATACAATGAGTCAATGTGTATTTTCAAATGTGCCCACTATAGAGTATACTTATGGCATAGAAATAAAAAATCTGGATTCTAAAATATACATAATATATGCTCATGATTATGTTATGATAGTCACAGTATAAAGAGTAAATCTGTTTTTTCCTACTTTCAAAATTATTTGTAATGAATGTATTCCTTTTATCACCAGAAAAATCAATAAACAGTATTAAAACTGCCATGCAGAGAGATTCTGACTTTGATACAATACAAGCTTATACAGGCTAAGAGTCAGAAAGGCAGAAGGAAACAGAGAAGCATTGGGACAGAGACCATACCTCGGACCACACGCCTGCCTCCCACACGGTCATGCAGTCCTGGCCCTCGCAGCGCTGGGCGGAGGCCGGCTTCGGCCCCGCGCAGTCCCTCTCCCGGGCTCTGGTCAAGGTTCCATTGCTCAGCTGTTGGGTACAGGCTACTTGCCTGCTCTGCATCCCTTTTCCACAAGTTCGTGAACAGGGGGTCCATTCTGTCATCATCCATCTGCAAGTAGAGCAAGAGTCACTGAGAGAAACTAAAAGATATCTACTTACTGTATGTTTTGACATGGCTAGAATTAGCAGAATGCTATACATTAAGTTTATACCACTGTATTTTTTTAAAAACTAATTATTTGAGTTTTTTCCTACGACACCAAGGCTTTCTATTGCTTTAAATTCTCCATACTTCTTATCTCAGAGCCTTGCTTTTATTAGAATCTCAAAGGACTTATCAGACCCAGGCCCTGTCATCTTGCATGCTTCGCTGGCTACTGCCTGTCCTATTGCCATATTGAGGGATCTAACAAAAATAAAACTGCTAACATATATGAGTTTGTTCCTATTCTCTGCATTTCAAACCTTCACAATAACCCTACCTGTTAAGTGCTACAACTTCTGTGGCCATTTACAGAAAGGGAAACTGAGGCAAGGGGAGGTGTAGTGACTTCTCTAAGGTCACAAGGTTGTGGAGTCAGAAACTGAAATGAGACTGCAGACTACCTCACAAGGGGACACGTGCAGGTATTAGCAAATAAAAGAAGCCTGTCTTGGAGAACCCCACTTACCTGGGGGAAGCTATTACTAACGTATTATGCCCATCACCTGCAATCAGGTTTTTGTGTCTGGGGAGTACCCTCCAGGTAGAGCCAAAGTCGCTTCTTTAGGCTAGCTGATATCTTGTTACAATGTGATCACTGGCATCGAAGTGACAGGCTACATGCAAAGTGAGCTGATTTTAGAGGTTCTCAGGAGTCCAATATTATTCTCAGATTTCACTGATTCAGCCAATTCCCATGTACTTTAATACATAGATGAAGATCCTCTTTCCAAACCACCATTATGGGCAGCGATACATCTCTATGCCACTTCCATTTCTAATGAACTGGGATCGACCCTAAGGACCACTCATTCAAACACCTCCCCAAATTTATTTCAGGAAGGAACCAAGGCCTATGACAGAAAAGGGATTCATAAAATTTGGTATCTGCATGATTCCTGTCAAAAAAAAAAAAAAAAAAGCTCTCTGGGCCTTTCAGATTATTTGATAACCTTATAAGGGAATTTTGGACTTCCCGGGTGGCGCTAGTGGGAATGAACACACCTGCCAGTGCAGGAGACATTAGAAATGCGGGTTCAGTCCCTGGGTCAGGGAGATCCCCTAGAAGAGGGCATGGTAACCCACTTCAGTGTTCTTGCCTGGAGAATCCCATGGACAGAGGAGACTAGTGGGCTACAGTCCATAAGTTCACGAAGAGTGAGGCATGACTGAAGCGACTTAGCACACATGCAGGCAGGGGGATTTAAATCCCTTACTAAATGATCTACATACCACTACAGCCCAGCGCAGGGCAGTCAGAAGCCATGACATCATGCTGGGTTCCTTACTATCCATATTCAGGAAACAATACTTAGCAGCTGCTAAGTTTCCATGTTTCTCATTTGTTAGTGTTTATTATTATAGTGTCTGACATACAAAAGGCATTCAGCATGCAGTATGTTCTATATATATATATATCAGAGTGTATTTATAAAAATTTATTCTTATATTTCTCTATGTTTATCTTTCACTTGTTTAGAACATAAACCATATGCTCAACTGGCTTCTAGACCTTCCTATTTCACCTCATGGAACTTATTTATGAAGTATCCACAGCCTAGATCCTTAACATTCAGGTCCAAGACCCTTCCTCCTAGAGTACTTTCACCATCTATCCCACAAGGACTCTGCTATCCTCTGCCCTCTGTCACCTGGCTTGTGGCAATGCTCCAAAGTTTGAGAAGTCACATGCTCATGCCACCTAGTTTTTGCATCTATATAATGGCTCAATCCTAAATAAGTCTATGCTCCTATTTCTGAAAAAGAAGAAAACATCACAATAACATCTGCACTCCAATATTGCCTCTAAGAAAGTTTCTGTCTGCTCGTCTACCAAGTATGATGCAGACGTACCAGTTTGCTATGGAGTCCCCTAGTGGATTTTTCCTAAAGTGAATATTTATCTTCCAAGTTTGTTTCAGTTTCTGCTTCATCTTTCCCCACAAGAATACCTCGGCTATAAGAACAATATAAACCCATCTATATGTCTTGCCCCTAAACTAGGGAACCAACCATGGAACTACGGAAGACAGTACTGAAAAGGAAAGTATTTACAATTTCATGAAATCTCAAATTTTTAAAATAAAATAAAATTTAGAGATCCATAGTGCAATGATAAAAAGTCACATTTTTTCATTCCTTAGAAAACTTCTGAAAAATAAGAACAAAAATATGTAACATATTGTAGTGAAGGAAAACATTTTGTATCTTAGAATTCATCTAATTTGGAATTATCTCATTTTCTTATCTGCAAGAGTACTGCTTACAAAGCTAGTGCATCAATATATTTTATATACGGTACACAAGGTTACATCAGCCTATTTGGTGACTTTTTCAATAAATGTCAATAGTAATTAGAATGTTTCTCACCACAGTGGGGGAAAAAAAGCAAGAGGAATGAAAGTTGTGCTATGGCAATAAGTCTTGGCAAGTTTTCCTGTGATGACTCCTCGTAATTGCCGCGTCCATTTCTTGTTTTTCAATATTTTGGTTAACCTCACTGACATTGCTTCCTGGTGGTTTAAAATACACCACCTCCTTTTCCAAGGGAAAGTAGACAATAATCTCTAACAAAAAGAGATTCCAGTCTCCAGCTGAAAAAATTTTTCACTCAGAAATGTACCGGCCTTTTAAAACTATTCATTTTACCAAGTCATTATTCAAGGCATTTTCCCCTAAGATAGCTGAGGTCAGTGAATGAACAATAACTGGCATGTACTGTACTCTCCGATTCTTCACAGACCCAGTATGGAAGTGACAAAATGCTCTAGAGTCCTCAAATCCAGCCCATTCAATGTTCCTGACAGACCAGAAAAAACCACTGCTCTTTGACCCAGATGGCAAAGCTATATGGTATATAAAAGAAATGCTGTTTTGAAACATTTTAATAAATTATTTAACACAAGGTAATTTAGCATTTGATGTCTATTAAAAGGGATAAAAATGAAAAAGATAATTCTTAAGAATAGTAATAATAACAACAAAAAATCCCAGTTCTTTAGCTGACAAGGCAAAAGTTAAAAATTCAGCTTCTGTATCTATGTGCTTAGCAATGAATGAAAAAAGAACCAAGGACCTGACTCTAACCAATAATATTTCCCTAGGTCACCCTTTCTGTTGATTAGTACCCTGCCTTACAAAAACACTTAATTGGTTCACCCCCAGAGTTAGGATTAAAAGAATATAGTCTGGCTGGAGCAAAGGAACTGTTAAACATGACTGAAATTACTTTAGTATACTTTTTTCTTTTGGATATTCTTTTACATATTAATCTTCTATTCTCTAGGGGCATATTTTTCCCTGTCAGGGAGGAGGGTAGGACTGTTAGAGCATGAATGCAAAGGAAAGAAACAGTAGTAATCAGCTTCTGATACCGTAAATATACTGAGTCTACAGAAAAGCAAGTCTTGAAATTTCAGCTTTGTAGAGGAAGACAAGATTATCCAAATTCTTTTAAGCTCTCATTAACATAGCATGAGCCAGATATGGAGAGTTTTGCAATAAGCCAGAAACAGAGGGAACTCGGATACATCTGATGGGGGAAGGTGGAGGGGAAAAGAGAAACCAGAAGAACGGAACATTAGCCTGTGTGACACTAATTCCCAGAGAGATTACTGAAGACAGAAAAAGCCTAAATATAGTTAATTGGCAGCTCTCCTGCTCCTTCTCCTTTAGCTCCCCATACGTTGTGGTGGAAGGTCACGAGGAAGATTATCTTAGACAGCGTCCCAAAGCTACGAGTTCTCTGAATATCCGAGTTGCAGGATGTATAACATTCACTGTGACTCCACTGCAGAAACTGCTAGGACACATCAATCGTTTGACTCCATAAGAATTCATGAATGCACCGTAACTCACTGAGCTTCAACAAATCTCTGAGTGTCAGGACAGAATAAAAGTCTCTGTCTCCAGATTCTAGAGAAATCAACCCAGCCTCAGACTCTTTTTGTCACTCTATCCTTCAAAGCTGTGAGGATGAATGACACTGGAGACCCACTCAAGCCCGACATCAATTTTTACATGGGACCACAGTGATTTTTCAGGAGCCCTGTGCCAGAAACCATTCTGCACAGACTCATGGCAAGCATGCTCCAAAACCATGCTTAGGTTCCATTCACCCATCTCTGCTGGTAACTAAGGGGTATCCTTCCTTCTACATCACTTTAAGCTGCTCAGCATGGCTGTTCTATCCCCTACTTATGGGTTTCTTGCCTGCTTTGTTGCTTATTACTCACTGAGAAAGTCACAGGGGACCAAAGCAACCAATTTTCTAATAACTAGGACCCAGGTCAGGAATCCGGTGATTGGAGATCAAGAATCAAATAGCTTGTCTCTGGGGCAAAGAAGTGAGAACCTAACCTTGGGGGCCAAAAGGACTAAATGCCCTCACTGTTGTGTCAGGGACTGGGTCCTGGTTAGCCCCACTTTAGTTCATATCATCACTGGCAGGTCCTAACATACCATTTTGGAGAATTTAGGAATTGAGTAGCTGAATTCAGCCAAATAACTAGATTTCTGAAGAGGTGACCAACAGGTTACCAAATAATTTTAATTACTCCTTCCTTATTCAATTAGAAGTTGTTTTCACACTGTGAACAATAGATAAAGTGGACATCAATCCTAGCCTTGCTTCTCCAACACTTGTTCCATAGAGTTGATTACCCTCCTTTCTCAGACCTTGCTTATTTACAGCCTTTCATTTTGGTACACAACACACGGCACGGCTTTTAAGAAACTGTAATTCTTTAATGAGTGGTGAGACAGTTTACCTTGTTTGGCATGGCTGTTCATTGCACTTGCGAATCTGTGGCTCTGGCTTTGTTAAGTACTTGCATTTCTTGTTATCCACAATGCTGATATTTTTGTTCATGATTTTTGTGCAAGACACTGTTGTTTTCCTTTCTCCTGAAAAGAGCAAATAAACATAAAAAGAAATGTTATTATAGGCCTCCATACGATGGACTTAGGAGGTATTCTTAGGCTTGTACTTTTCATATTTTAAACAAATTTTAGATTACATCAATGAAGATGATATTATTTATAATTTGCAAAACAAAATGTATCTCTAGGCTTAAGCAAGATGAACAATAATTTTTTTAATTGTTAGCAAATGGCAAGTTTTATAATACAAAAAGATTATGGTAGCATAAGTTTGTAAGACATTAAAGATATTTATAAAGGACGATATCACCTTTTAGCATTCAGTGGTGGAAAGCTGTATTTTTATAAAGTCTCTGTGTTGTCACAAAAGCACATAAACACCCATATAAACATGTGAACATTTTATCATCCGGCTGTACACCATCGGGGGAAGGTTTTAGGAGATAAGCTTATTTCGAGTATAACTCGAATCTGTTTTGTCACTTTTGGTGAAGAACCCAAGAATTCAAGAAATCCTCATTCCCTAATGATTATCCTGTTCTCTAAGAAAAACCATGGTAGTTTTCCCATTTTTCAGAAAATGGGCTTTTCTCCTTTCTCTGGTAAGATGAAGTTTGATTATAAGAGGTAAAAATGACTATTTGTATGTGATAATCATTTTGCTCAGAACCTTGTAAGCACTCTTACTGGACAACACTTTTATTATTTCATCTTACACTGAAAAAGTCACTACACATGTGNCCTTTCTCTGGTAAGATGAAGTTTGATTATAAGAGGTAAAAATGACTATTTGTATGTGATAATCATTTTGCTCAGAACCTTGTAAGCACTCTTACTGGACAACACTTTTATTATTTCATCTTACACTGAAAAAGTCACTACACATGTGCTAATTCTGTTTTCCTAAAACAGTCTAAATATCTGTATAGGATTTAATAATCTAATGTAACTTGTTAGACCCTATAAAAATAATTAAATCAGCCAATAACTGTAAAGCCAGACGGGTCATGAAGGATTAAGAAAAAAAAAAAAATCACAAGTCTTTGTGTCACTATTGAAAGGCCCATTAGTTAGGGTCCTATGACTGTCATGCAATAATAATTAGGAAGCTCAGAGAAGCAGAAATGACTTACAATGTTAAGTTTTCTTCACAGAGAAAAGCGGCCTTACCAGGGAGCGGTTCCCTAAATGTGAGAACTCAGGAGATTTTTGGTCAACATCTACCTAGTTTCCCCATGCTTTAGGTAATCTTTTATGACCTGATCTATGTATTAAATAGATATTACACAAACGTTGTATAATGCTAGCATAAGTATGTATTATTTCTACATGACAATGATGCTTACCTAAAAGCAGGATTAAAATAAATGTTGCTTTTTAGAAATATTTGTTTTAAAATCTAATTTAAAACCTCACAGTCATAAAGCACTCTTTTACAGAATAGATGGAGTTGTCTAAATTAATTTAAATTTAATGCTTTTCACAACTGCAGCACAGAAGGATGACAGACAGACAATATCCAGAAAGCTTTTGCTGAAATTCACTGTAGTCACGGAATGAATAACTCAGAGTTAATTATACTGCATTTTTTCCTTTACTCAGAAAGCGTTTAACTTTAGTTATGCTGGCCCAGAGGTGACATACTGAGCTAATGACAAAAATCTTTCAAGTACTGATATATCAAAAGAGATACAGGTATTGGCACCAATTCATGGAGTGACTTACTAGTGTTCTAACGAAGTATGAAGCTGTGTGAATAAGACTTGGGACATTTCCATCCACACTGTAGCAAAAAAGCTCACATCGTAAGTTTTTTGGCAGACAGAAGAGGGTTTAGCCCTACTTTTAAAAAAATTTCATTGAACAAAAACAAAAGAATCAAGGGGGAAAAAAAAAAACGAATGCTCAGCTACAGGCACATTATGCCTATGAAAATACAACCAGGATCCTAAAGCCATATGGAAATGTTATTGTTTGATTTTTTCTTTTATATATTTTTATGTCCCAGCCAACACAGGAAATTTCCATTCTAGCATCTAATAGCAGTATTTACAATGCATCCAATACTGTGGAACCAAGGGACGAACAGAAAAGTGATGAAGTAACTGGCCTTATGCCTGAATCTTGAGTAGATGCAAGCTGTTGACAGAGTATTATTTGCTTTATGGCAATTAACTTCATCTCTGGGTCATTCCCACTAAATCATTATTTGGGAAATCTGTTTTGATGTTCTAAATTAATTATAAACAAAATACAATAACCATTACGAATTCATCTTATCACCAAATTTGGGCAAAATTTTAAAAGGAAGGGTAATTTTTATTTACTGATTCTTTGTTCTCTGAAGACAGTTAACAAAAACTAGATATTATGTTGTGTTCCTTCTTTTCCAGCCTCAGAAATAACCTGTTATTTTTTCTATGCTATGTATTTAATCCATAAAATGGCTATTTTTAATAGAACTCTATTCTACTCAGGTAGATCACATTTCTAAAACCTGCATCATGTATGTGGAAACAGTTTGAGGAGTAGGTTGAGTATTTCAGGACACAAAACTGAACTTCTCTACGTGTTATAGGACATTTCAAACTTTTGTTTTGAAAAATTTACTTTTTAATTTTGAAATAATTTTTTACCTACATCTACTTTGGGAAGTAAGAGGATCTGAATACCCTTTGTCCAGTTCCCTGCAACGGTAATGTCTTGCAAGACTGTAGTAAAGCATCACTATCAAAAGACTAACCTTGATATTGTCAAGATGTACAATATTTCCATCCCCACAGGAATCCCTTCAGTTAGGCTTTCAGAGCCACATTCACTTCCCCTACCATCCACCAGTCAGTTAAGTCCTGGCAACTACTAGCCTGTTCTCCATTCCTATGATTTTTTTCATTTCAAGAATGTTTTGAAAATATCATACACAGTGTATAACTATTGGGGACTGATATTTTTTTCAACGTAGCATGATCCCTTTGGAGGCTCATCTTCATTGTTATATCAATCATTTGTTCCTTGTTATTGCCAACCAGTAATTCCTGCTGTGAATGGACCACAATTTATTCAACATATCATCCATAGAAAGGTAAGTACATTCCAAACTTTTTACTAAAATTTGGGAACTCTATATGAAAGACACTATATGTATTCATTTGTCTTCACAATTTTCTCTTAAAATTTTTAATTAATATAGTTGCTATTAAACTAAAAATGACTAGCAAGCAACTAAGCCAAAAATAAAAATAATTAAATGAGGAAGAAGGTCTTTCTGAGTAGAATGTAGAATGCTGCTTATTTTTCAAGCATATATTTTTTTAACTTGAGCAGCTTCTAAAATCATGTCATGTCCTTTCATTCTTAGTCATTCTTTTTACATTTCTATAAAACATTTTCCCCCACAAGGTTTGGGCTTAGCATTAATAGGGTAATTTCATTTTTATTTTAATGAAAAAAATATATTCTGTATTGCTCCTAACGCTCAATAAATAAGCCAATCTGATCTTGTCACTTCCATACGCACAAATATTTTAATGGTATCCCCTTAACTTTCAAGTTAAATTTAACTTGAGTGCCTAACACTTTAACTGATCTGGCCTCTCTGTCTCAGAAAACAGGAAAGAGTTGCTGTCTTTGTTTTGCTTTCCTGTTAATAAGCAAAAAAATGAAACAAGTGATGTGGCTTCACTTTCCCCTTTTTACTGTTCCTCTTCAAGCAGATCCAGTAGAGGTTAATTTACCACCACACCTCTCTGCTAAGGAAGCTGAATGTCTGCACCCTTATGTGTGAGGAGCTGAGGGCAGGAAATACCAGGCTCATTTTACGGAGGGGCAAACTGAGGCCAGATAAGTGAAAAGACCTGTTTGTTCTCTTATTAAGAATATCAAACAACTTCATATCTGGTGTGTAGTTCATTAGTCTTTATATTGTGAGTGCCTAACACCTTCACAAACTGGCTTCTACTTTTTTTGTCAAACAATTTCCCACAGTTTGATTCTCATATTTTGCACCTGACTAATAAACATTCTCATTAACCCCAGGGACTTTGCACTTATGCATATCCCTGGAAGGCTTTCTACAGCTCTCCGTACATACTCTGTATGGTGCTTTTATTATTATCTAACCCCTACCAGGGAGGACAGTAAATTCTCTAAAAACAGAAAGCACTCATCTCTGAATCATCCAGCAAAAGTAAAAGTACAGTCAGTATTGGTAAAGGGATCACTAAATGAAATATAAACATGTAATTCAAGCCCAAAGCACTTGCCACAGTTAAGAGGTTCATCTCAACACCATGTTTCCTAAAATGGTAAAAAATCATTTGCAAACTCAACGACCAATTATGGGGAACAATTATATACAGCAAATCAAACAAATGGATTATCATTTAGGTGTTACAATTCAAATTTATAAAGAGTTTACATGAATATAAATGTTCCTATTAATTTACATAAAGAAAGTAGGACATGAAATGACATGAAATATTATTGAATCCAAATAATGCAAAGAAGAGCAAATATATATTTTGGCATTTTCTTTGGCTAATAACATTTACATTGGTACAGGCAAAGTGCCTGTGAAAGGGAAAAACAGAAAAAACCCAGTACCCTTAATAAGATACAAGCATTTGTATACTGAGATATTTCCTGAATTTGGACCCAAAGGCTTGGATGCATCCAGGGACTCTGGTCATGGCCAAGGAGAGCCGTGTCTAGAGGATATCACAATATAAGGCTAATGGCATAAAAGTCGTAAGTTAGCAGGATTTGAATTAATGTGAACAATGTAGAATGTTGACTTGTTTTTTCCCCTTCAAAGTGTATCTGTTCAGATTTTCTAAAAGCATATTTAACTCTTCATTTATTTCAAAACAGGTTATTAAATTTGAGGGCCTTCATTCTAGGTTTTATGTCATTAATTCACCTACTAGATTAAAAATGAGACAGAGTAATGTAATTACTGTATGTAGTATGCAGAATGTGGATTTCACAAAAAAACCTTCAGATATTATGGAATTATAGATTGCTGCTGCCTCTGAAGATCAAGATCATTTCAAACAGCCTTTTGTTAAAAAACAAATCCTTTATCTACCGACCTGTACTTCTGAGGTGCCAAAATAAATTTAAAACATTCCTTCAAAGATTTTTTAGATATTTTTAGAACACCAACGCAAAGTAAATATTTACTTCACAAATATGTTTTAAGATGTTTGAAAATAAAAGGACCAATATCAATGGTCAATGCTGAAGTACAAAGTGACACATCTATTCGAAGTTTTCTAGGAGGATGATTTGAATTTGACAAGATTGTCATGAAAAGTGTACATGTTAAAACCTGCTGGAAAAATTTACTTAAGATCACCAGCATTACTATATAAAGTAATATTTACTAGTAAAATACTAAAGTAATATTTCTTCTAAAAGAAAAATTTATATCTCAGGCTTTTCTTATAATAACATGCATCAATAAATTAATAGACATGCATAATAAAGGAATTCTAACAGGTTATTTTAAAACTTAGAGATACTGATATAAAAGATCATGATAATAAAAACTGAGCTACTGGAAACTAGGTATTTAAAAAAAAATCATTTCTTGTTCCCACTTATTGCTGGAATGTAGTTCCTTAAAAATGTGTTAAAAAAAAACATAACACCTTATGTTAAACACTGAAATTATATACTGCCCTATGATACTTTATTTGCTCTTTTTTGCTTAATATTCCTATGAAGTAGAATAGTCTTATTATTCTTTGCTGCTGAAGATAAATTTTGCCTGAATCTGTTTCCAATGTTCTGTGCTTTGAACTTACTTTCATTTAATTCATGAATATGCTGAAAGGTTACAAAGCTCTTTCTGGCTATAAAATCGACAAAACAGAGTCAGAAATGATGCGATTCTTGAAACCCTGTCCATCCACTTTATTTATGAACTGCAAAGGAAAATAATATCCAAATGCCCAGAAACATTTTGGCACTGAAATGAACATACATTCTATTAACATAGTCAGAGATAATTGAAAACTGTTGACTAAACACAATGGAACAGATCTGAGAGAGAAGGTCTGTTCACGTGCAAGTCATATAGAAGTTGCTTATAATTAGGACTTCTATAAAATAAGCCGTTTGAAATAAAAGTAAGGACATAGCTAAATTCTTATTTAATAGATTAAATAAAACATCTCTTTGAATCCAAAGAAAACCTATGTAATCTTTTTAAGGGACATGCTATATTTTGTGGGAAGAAATCACTAAATCCCTGAGCTGCTCCTAAAGGAAGTGTATGACAAAGAGGAAAGAAGATCTGAACTCAGGAGTCCTGGATTCTAATCTTGGCTCCACTTCCACTGGACATGTGACCTTGGAAAGGCACTTAATCTCTATGCACTTCGATTTTCTCACATTAATAATTACACAGTCATGCTTAAGAATATTGAAAAGCCCTTCTGACTTTGAACCTAAGGTAACTTATACTGAACTTCTATTTATTAAAGCCCGGCAAGTGACAAAAGATATTCCAGGCTGTATGATTTTGGAAAAAAATTTTAACCGCCCCCCCCCCCCCAATTTTATTGTTTAAACTGAAGACTGACAAGTTCTGTATGTTTACTTCTGAAGCTTTTACTAGACCACAATTACAGCAGAATGAAAAAAAAAATGAGGATAATAAAATTCACTGGGCAAACATTTTCCTGTCTAGAGTCAAATGTAAACAGATTTTAATGACTGCCTTTGAGTGCAGTAACAGGAACCAGCAACATTTTCACTGCTCAGCTTCCTCATGACCCACCGTGGGATGGTGGCTGGTGATTCTTGTCTGAGTTATACTAAGGAAGAAAGAACTCTGTGGATTTTCACTTTAAATGTTTGTTTCTATCTGTGTTTTGCTTTTTTATGGAGGGGGGTGTGAAGCAGAGCCCTTAAGTGCAATGGTCCCTGGCATCAGTAAGAAAGGGGTGAAGTGGAGGCACATGAATTTGGGTGTACATGGGAGCAGCGGCAGGACAGGACCAGAGGATACAGGATCGAAGTCACATGGTGAGAACGAGGCCCTGGAGAGAAACATGGCCAACGAGAATTTCATTGTGCCAAGGATGACTGCTATAAGCTTTTAAATTGTGGCTAGAAATTCTTCTGTTATAATTACTCTATAACCCCCAGGAGCAAAGCCTGCTCTGTATAATCCTCCGCTTCCTGGCCTACCACGTTGCCTTTGCTCTGGGGCTGTGTGTTCCTGGAGTTCCAGAGTTCCAGGGGAGAGTTCCAGAGGTCCGAGTGCTCTAGCAAAAGCAGCGACTCCCCTGTCTCTGAAACTCCGGATGTTCCCAGCACCTTTTTCTCCTGTCTGCTGAGGAAACCATTTTTTGCTTTCTCCATGGTCACCAGTGGGGTGGCCATTTTCTTGCTTACACGCCATTCTTTTGCATCCAGAGGCAGACCATTCCCCCTTCTTCCTAAACCTACAGCTTTGGGGCAGACCATGCGGTGCAGTCCCCTTCTTGATGCAGCCAAACACCAACCCCTGGATCAATCTCTTTTCACTCTGAGTTTAAGCTCCTGCATTATTGTTCTATTTTCTAATACTGCTCCCTATACATTTTTGTTTAGTTTGTTTCTTTAATTTTTTGAACTTTTACTTTTGTGTTGGTGTACAGCCAATTATCAATGCTGTGATAGCTTCCAGTGAACTGCGAAGAGACTCAGCCATACATATACATATATCCATTCTCCCCCAAACATCCCTTCATCCATCCCTCCCACATAACATAGAGCAGAGTTCCATGTACTATACAGTAGGTTCTTGCTGGCTATCCAGTAACACAATTCTTTTTGTAATTACCATAGCCATTTGAATGATTCTTCAACACCGAGGACTCTCAGTTCCAGGCTCTCTTCTTGTCCCAAAGGTGTGTCCTTTCACTTCACTGAAGCCACTAACTCTCCTGGTCTTGTTATGACTAATAACTATATCCCCTCTATACTCTCAGTTCTATTTTCTGTCACCATCTCCTGTATTTCTAGCCCTGTTCTTAAGTCTAAAAGTCTCTGAGTCTAAAAGTTCTTTAACCCCACCAGACCCTAAAATTCATTAGTGCCTCCACCATTTGACTATCTTTCAAGCCCTACATATCTTTGCTTTCCTCCATATATAACTAAATTCCACGGTCAATCATTTTCAGCTCCTTACATACAACCTCAGGTCAAACGTATGCTCCTTTTACTATGCTCACACGGCAATTCCAGAACTTACCACAAGTACATCTCTATTCTATACATACCTGGAGGGTAATGTACCACTCTGACATGAGTGTCAAGCTGAATTCATGAACATCAACTTCAAGTGGAACATCAATGCTACCACATGGTCAGAACAAGTACTATTTCATTCATTTTCTTCTTCCCTTAAGTGACCACTTCACATTTCCTCTCTTTTCAAAATTTCAACATCTCTTTTTCACCTTTAGTCTCAGAAAAATGGACAATCTTGATAAAAATAGATGCAACCAAAAGGAGTACCACCATAAGTTTCCAACAACTGCTTTTGTTCAAAATACTGTCTTTTCTCCTATTACTAGGCTATCCATACTTCTTTCTGAAGCCCTATTCTATTCCATCCATCTTGCCAACTTAAGACATCACTCCAGAAATGTTTTGCTCTCTCCTTTGCATCACTAGTTTTCTGTTCTATTCTGTTCTAGAAAACATACACTGGCAAGCAATCATGTATAATTCTCCTTATTAAAAAAACAATAAACTCTTTGACACATATTCCTCTCCAGCTAACGCCACATTTCTCTGCTTTACTCTTTCAACAAAATTTCCTAAGTTACCTTGAGTCCTTTCTTCAATTCATCATATGCTATTTTCTCTTGAATCCATTCCACTTAGTCTTTTGGTTACTTATTTTAATATGCTTTGTTGGTTTCTTCTCATCTGACTGAACTCTAAATGACATAGTGTCCCAAGTAAAAATAAAAGTGTATGAATATCATATAACAACCTGCACGATGTACAGGGCACCCCCCATAAGTGTTAATATTGATGAAAAGCAATGCAGTGAGTAATCATACTGAGTGAGATATATAACAACTGTAAACAGCCTTTAATTCATGCCACATTTTGCTGAAAAATAGTTCAGGCATTTAGACATGAAATGTGTTTCAAAAAACTTTGAATTTCCAATCCCTCATGGAGTTTGAAATTTTAGATAAGAGGTTATGGATCTGTCTTAACTGTCAACAGTTAATCGGAAAACAGCTATTTTGGAAAGATAGTGAAAAATGCTTCACCTCCTCCACATGTGGCATCGCAATCTTCCCAGCCTGTGTGTGTCCACATAAAAAGGGGTTCAGGTGCTTTGGAGCTCTGATTCTCTGGAGGAGGGTCTGATGGGATGGTGTATTCATAGTGAAGACCATAATTCTGGTCTTGAAACAGCAGCACCTATAATATATATAAAAGGGTTCAAAGCAGATGGATCAAATCAGAGCATATTCAATGTGAAGCATAAAACTAAGGATATGGATACCTTAAAATGCTTTTGGTATGGCATGCATGTTCCTTTCATACACAGTAGATTTGTGACCTTATCGCTTAAATGCTGAAACTGTCCTACTTCTGTAAACACTGGAGTTATACACTTACCTCTGAGCTAACAATGGCATGAAAAAATAGCCCATTTGAATGAGGTCAGAGATACCATATTATTTTCTCCCAAGTCAATGGGCTACACAGTCTCCCAAAGCATGGTACATGTATAAGACGACTTTAGTAGGGGGGACAGGGACATGTGTCCTACATAACATCAAGATATAACCCACAATCTAGAATCAAATGAAGCCTTTTCATTCATATTAGAAAAATATGAATGATAAGTCCCTGTGTCAATAGAGGAAGAGGACAGAAGGCTTTGGGAATTATTTCACTCCGTAAGGGGAAGAGCACTTCTAAGTCAACTGGAGAACAAGAATACTATTCCATGTATGCTTACGGTTAAACTTTAATTTTGGCAAGGTTACTAACTTTTCATTTACAGTAAAGATCATTTCCTTTGAAAAGAAATTTATGTTAAAAAAAAGCTTTTAAATGCAAAGTAACTTAATAATGGTACAGCGAGGTACATGTATATAAACAGTACATGTATGTAAACAGTATAAATCATAAAGGGTGTATGGGAATGGTTGAACTGTGGGTTACACTGGACTAAATCATAAGCAGCAACCATGTCTGTGATGTTATCCCACAGTACACAATGTCAAGTTTAGAACTGCATCATGTATGGTGCAAACATACATATTTTAAATGAAAGAAAAATACATGAAAAATACTCATTTAAAATAAAAGAATGAATGAGAATATATGTTTCTTTATAAATTCATTTCCATCAAATATGTCAAACAAGCCCATTGGATATATGATGTCTATGGAAAAGTGAAAGTCGCTCAGTTGTGTCTGACTCTTTGAGACTCTATGCAGTCCATGGAATTCTCCAGTCCAGAATACTGGAGTGGATAGCCTTTCCCTTTTCCAGGGGATCTTCCCAACCCAGGGATGGAACCCAGGTCTCCTGCATTGCAGGCGGATTCTTTATCAGCTGAGTCACAAGGGAAACCTGAGGATTTAAGGAAGCAATCTAAATAATATGATGTGATACATAAAAAATATATATCTAAATTTTAAGTAAAATTCAAATATTAGAGAATTTTTATATTTAATCTATATCAAGATAGTTGTAATGATAGGTTATAGAGTTAACACTTATTGGGGGGAAAATGAGTTTTTAAGGTTAACTTTTTTTACTTTTTTTTCTTAAGATTTTGCCTCAATATATTAATAGAAATACTATGACACATTTTAATATGTGGATTGAGGAATTAGTATGATGGCATTATGAATCAACTAGATCAACAACAAAAATAATACTTCTAAAAGTCGCATATATGTAACATGCTGGATACTGATCCTAAGCACATGACAGTGTTTGCTTTGACTTTAAATATCTCATTTCATGTTGCTAGTGACTTTTCAGCTCAATAAGCTAAAAAAAAAAAAAAGGAGAGAGATGGATTCATCTTGTTTACGAACAGAACCAGACCATTACATGATTTTTAAATTGACGAAATGAACATATAAATAAGTTATTTGTCAACTTATTTAATTACATGAAAACATGTCTGTTTTTCTTAAAAAACTACCTTTTCATTAATAGGACTTTTGATTGTACTTGAACATCTAATTCCATTAAAATAAAGACATTCGTTACAAAATCATTAGCTCTTTCTTAAACCATCTGAATTTGGCAGTATTCTTTGCAAGAAGGAAAGTTACAGCTGAGGGGCACATACTGAAGCATGGCACAGAAGGTATTGCCTTTCAAAGTTCAGTACCGGCTTTCAATCTGTAATAGTCATTAAAGAAAAATATCTTTAGAAGTGCAGTTTCCTTTGGATTACTGAATAAATCCAGGTCACATAGATGCCTTCTTTTAGACATAGTTCACTGACTTTAATTATGTTTCATGCTTCCAGGAAAAACCTTGGTAATTACCAGTCAGATTAAGGATTCTGCAGCAAGGAAACTCCCTCTGCCCAACAGTAAGGTCTCACATACACTGTTTTAAAATTTTGAATTAGAGGCTCACTAAAAGAGCCTCAGTCTTGTTCCATAAAAATATGTACGTTACACTCATGAAAGGGAGGCAACATGATAGCGTTTTCAGCAACCAAATCATTAAACATATGTTTGTTGTTGATAATGCTGTTATTCTAAGTGACCCAATCATGGAAAGAGCCAGATATTGGTCATATGATGTTTGTTTAGTCATTTCTCCAATCCCTCACCCCCCAGATGGCAGAGGGCGCAGAGTGGAGTTTCCAATTCAAATTAAAGGATCCAAAAGTAACTGTGGGGAGATGAACAAAAACATTATTTAAAGTGTATGCATAATTATGATCCAAAGCTCTCGAGTATAAAGAACTTAGATTTGATCTTTGTATCAGGAAAGGCAGCATAGACGATGGATTAAAATCTAATTTATTCAGAGCTGGGAAGCCTGGAGTGCTGCAGTCCATAGGGTCTCAGAGCCAGACATCACTGAATCACAACAACAAAATAACTTATTGGGGGATACTGAGCACAGTACTTAATCTTTTAAATATTTAGTGTTTTCTAATCTGTAAAATGAAATAATAATAATACATATCACACAGTGTTATTCTGAGGATTAAATGCCATAATGAACGTAAAGCACTTCTGGACAGGGTCTGCTCTCAGTCCTTGATGAATGGTGTATAGTATTACTATTATTAAGATTTTGAACAGAAGGCTTCATGGAACTCACCTCGTTCCCTTTATGCATCCCTCCCTTCATGCATTCTTGTTGGTAAAGCCTACTGACTGCAGTTCTACAAAACATTCTTACTTGAACTGTGGTCAGTGAACCAGTAGTAGTGGCAGACCAATGTTCGGTTAATAAGAACAAGAACCTCAGGTGATTTGCAGGCACATTCAACTAGGGAAAAGCAAATGGGCCAATGAGATTTGAACCTCCGGTGCCTAGACTGGCAACACCGATGTCTCCAGCATAAGGACAAATTCGACTTAAACTGTAAGGAGATATTAAACAATGTAGCACATCACACTCCAAATAAACAGTCAGTTGACTGTGTTTTAGAGTTGTTTTTATGTGTGGACTCAGATGTTGAAGTGTGTGAATCTAAGACCTTGCCACCAGAATGAAAAGCACTCTAGCTGTGTAGTCAGTCCTCTGGCTCCTAAGTCATTAGCACTGAACGCCATGATCAAGGACAAATGGGCATGTGAACCAGCACGGGTGCAGAGCCTCAGTATCCTGATTTGTTTGCTCCAAACTCAGACCTAGTCTTCTGCTACAAGGTAAAGAAACTTAGTATCCCAAACATTCAAGTTATCATAATTCTTTACAGGAATCACTTAACCTAGTAAGAACACAAGGGGTAATTGGAAGCCTTGTTAAATAGTTAACAAGTGTTTTCCCCAGGGACCAATACCATCTTTCTCAAGGGCCTTTTATATAGATTCAGGCGGTACACGTTTCACAGATGTATGAAATGTGACAGTTCGCCATGCATGCATGCATGGATGCTAAGTCGCTTCAGTCGTGTCCAACTCTTTGCGACCCTGCGGACTGTAGCTGGCCAGGCGCCTCTGTCCGGGGAATTCTCCAGGCAAGAAAACTGGAGTGGACTGCCATGTTCCTGACCCAGGGGTCGAACCGGTGTCTCTTACATCTTAACCACTAGCGGCACCTGGGAAGCACTCTAATCTTTACAGACATCTACTCTGATCAGTAAACATATACTTTTAGGGAAAGAGGAACCTTATTGCCTGCTAGTTTACCTCTACTGTGGGCTGAGAATTCCCCAAAACATCATGTCCATTTTTGAAATGTAAAATTATCTTTTAAATTTAAAAATTTCCACTTTTAGCCATCTTGATTTCAAACACACACAAAAACCCCCCTAAAATCCCACCTCTTAAGTAACTTTAAATATCTACTTGACAACCCAAATTTGGAAAAAAGAGAAAGCACAGTGGGAATGTCCTATGTCGGAGGAAGCTGATTATGCAGTGTTATGGATTCATGCCCTCATACCAGGAGGTGTAGAGGTGTTGTAGTGGGACCTTTGGCGGAGATCTTCTCCCAGAGGCCTCGTCTTACATAATGGACAGTAGTTCCTGCTATGTTGAATGCTCCAGAGTGTTCAATCTTCCAGTCACTGTTAATAGACTGTTTTCCAGTGTCTCGGAGAGCTATAAAGAGGTTACAAAATATTATGAGATTAGCAAGTCAGCATCGTTAATCACTGTCCCTTTTGCATGATTTTGTTAAAAGCATTTCATGCATTTCTAAACTAAATGGTCAGTACTCCCTAATATAAAATATGAGGCATCTCCACTTTGGGAAAATCTATAATCACAGCAAATGCCACAGGAAATTCTCCTTCTCTCCTAAAGCTGCCCACCACCACAGAGTCACACTTATCTTTGTCTCCTCAAAACTTCCACTGAAAACTTCCATGTGTTATATGTGTTATAACACTGTATGTGTTATACTTATTTTGTCCCGTAGTCATTTATTCCTTAACATATTAAGGCTACAGTTGTCTGTGTTGTCTATGTAATGATTCTATGAACATCGTGAGGGCTAGTACTTACATCTTATACACGCTCTGTAACTCCCATGCCACCCAAGAAAAGGGTGTGATGACAGAAGGATCATTAAATAGCATGTTAACTAACAGCTCAAAATGAGAGTTATGTTCAACACAAAACAATTCAAATATAACGTGGTGGTTTTAAAAACAAAACTCAGAACCTTTTAACATTCCTAGTTTGTGACTTACTGTGTACAAGAGTATATATAAATGCTAGTTCTTAACCATAAACAGCCATCATTTATGTGGAATTGTACAGAATAACTTTGTTTACCTATAATTTTTCTCTTTCTCTGTTTTGACTTGATTTGTGCCGCAACTTAAATAAGATCCATAAAAAAATAAAAAAATAAAAAAATAAATAAGATCCATAACATGGAACTGAGATTCTATGATAACCATTTAAAATTAAGGATTCCTTCTATTTTTTTTACAAATGATTTTATGTTTTATTTAAGCTTTCAGACACTCTCATATAATTGAATCTCTTTCAAAAACATTTACATGAAGATTCACTGAAAGATTTTATGTCATAATTCTATGAAAATGTCGGAGGAAGCTGATTATGCAGTGTTATGGATTCATGCCCTCATACCAGGAGGTGTAGAGGTGTTGTAGTGGGACCTTTGGCGGAGATCTTCTCCCAGAGGCCTCGTCTTACATAATGGACAGTAGTTCCTGCTATGTTGAATGCTCCAGAGTGTTCAATCTTCCAGTCACTGTTAATAGACTGTTTTCCAGTGTCTCGGAGAGCTATAAAGAGGTTACAAAATATTATGAGATTAGCAAGTCAGCATCGTTAATCACTGTCCCTTTTGCATGATTTTGTTAAAAGCATTTCATGCATTTCTAAACTAAATGGTCAGTACTCCCTAATGTAAAATATGAGGCATCTCCACTTTGGGAAAATCTATAATCACAGCAAATGCCACAGGAAATTCTCCTTCTCTCCTAAAGCTGCCCACCACCATAGAGTCACACTTATCTTTGTCTCCTCAAAACTTCCACTGAAAACTTCCATGTGTTATATGTGTTATAACACTGTATGTGTTATACTTATTTTGTCCCGTAGTCATTTATTCCTTAACATATTAAGGCTACAGTTGTCTGTGTTGTCTATGTAATGATTCTATGAACATCGTGAGGGCTAGTACTTACATCTTATACACGCTCTGTAACTCCCATGCCACCCAAGAAAAGGGTGTGATGACAGAAGGATCATTAAATAGCATGTTAACTAACAGCTCAAAATGAGAGTTATGTTCAACACAAAACAATTCAAATATAACGTGGTGGTTTTAAAAACAAAACTCAGAACCTTTTAACATTCCTAGTTTGTGACTTACTGTGTACAAGAGTATATATAAATGCTAGTTCTTAACCATAAACAGCCATCATTTATGTGGAATTGTACAGAATAACTTTGTTTACCTATAATTTTTCTCTTTCTCTGTTTTGACTTGATTTGTGCCGCAACTTAAATAAGATCCATAAAAAATAAATAAATAAATAAATAAATAAATAAATAAATAAATAAGATCCATAACATGGAAATGAGATTCTATGATAACCATTTAAAATTAAGGATTCCTTCTATTTTTTTTACAAATGATTTTATGTTTTATTTAAGCTTTCAGACACTCTCATATAATTGAATCTCTTTCAAAAACATTTACATGAAGATTCACTGAAAGATTTTATGTCATAATTCTATGAAAATGTTCTGATAAATTAAGCTAATAAATCTTCCCAATATTATTTGTGCTAATCTCTATTTATTGAACATTTGAGGATTTTTCAGCTTTTTTAATATTATGAATAACATTCAGATAAATATACTATACACTAATTATTTGTATATCTGAATATTTCCCTTGGATAGATTCCCAGCTTTGGAATTTCAGAGTAAAAAAACTGACATTTAAAGATTTGAAAAAACAACTGCAAATTGATTTTCGTAAAGTTTGCATAAATTTATGCTTTCATAACTGAAAGTGTAGGTTTCTGAACGCCTACTTGAAAGCACCTTTATATAATATTTAATAATGACTAAATAATTGCTTATAAAGCATCAGCTATAAATCAGGGAATATTCAAAATTCTGGGAATTCCCATATGAACAATAGAAATATGTTCTCTGGCTTCACAAAACTAATCAACTAACTGGCAAACCAGACATTAATCAAGGCATAAGTAACGATTAATAATTATAATTACGCTGAAACTTGTGAGGGAGGAGTCAGGAAAGGCTTGTCTGGAGGATGACATTTATGGAGGACGCTAGCCAGGGGAACAGAGAAGCACAGGGCGAGTGTTCAAAGCTGAGGGAACTACTAATGCAAAGGTCGGCAGTGCAGCGTGGTGTGTAACAGGTGACAATGTGCAGATGCCACATGTCCTAATGCGGGTCATGAACTGATGAGACTGGAGAGGAGGGAACAGCCAGACTTTACAGGCCGTGTTAACTTTCAGCAGCTTTTTCCTAAGAAAAAAATATAAAGCTATAAGATTTTGAACAATACTGTGCAGAAAATGGATTTGCATAGGACAAATTTGTAGAGAGAAGATAAAATACCACACTGACATAGTATCCCATTGGAAAGTAATAGTGGCTTGACTTGACAGTAGAAAGTATGAAGAGGAATTTAAGAGTGAAATGGATAAAATAGGCTGATGACTTGGTTGCCCTGGGTGAAAGGAACTGTCAGGGCTGATGCCAGATTTCTGGTATGAGAAACAGTGGTTATAATAGCACATAGATAGGAAAGACTAGAAAAATAAATGATTGAGGAGAAATATCAGGGGTTGAATTTTGAACAATCTAGATTTCTTTTTTTAAAAAAAAATCTCTTTTTTGCTATTGAGGTTAAAGATGTTTTTCATTTGCTTATTAGTTATCTGCCTTTCAAATTTAAAATAATTAAATAAATTATACATTATCTGTTTTTTTCTGGTTAACTAAGAGATTTTTTGGTGTTTTTATTTCCATTATTATGAACACTGTATTAATAAAATTATTAAAATTTTACCTCAATTTCTACCAAATAATATTTTCCCTACATACTACACATAAGGGGTAATGTTTTTGATGAAATATTAAGCATACATATTTTCAGATGTATGAAAACTATTTAAGTATTAATTTTACCTTGAATTTTAAACGTGAATAGGAAATATGCTGCCAGAAAACTCTCAACACCTTGCTAATACCTTTTACCAGGTACAAATAGATATACTTATGATAATGCTAGATTGATTAAAAACTAATGATTTTTCCTAAAAGTTAAAGTATTTCCTTGTATTTCTCTAAGGTCTATTAAATATTCTGAGAATTTTTTTGGTCTAAATTTGTACTAACGACCAGTATAACTTCATTCTTTTTCCTGTCTTTCAATATATATTCAAGGCACTATTATAAAGGAATATTTCCTGAAAATCTCTAATAAAAATACCTTAAAAACTTTTTGTGGTGACTAAAGCATCATATTGAGACTCAACTGTCTTCTGGAATTCAGCATCCCCTCTTTCCTGAAATGCCACATGGATGTACTTGAAAATCCACACAATTTACGACCTTAAGAACAACCCCACATGCAGATTCAATGTTCTGGGTGAGTAGTGTTTCTTGGCTTTTCAATTCATTAGCTTCAAAAATGTGTTTTTTAGAAAATCTATATCTGGCCAAATCTGAATAACTGGTGCTTCACTATCTCTCCCACTGTAAACAACCAGAAAAGTAAGACAATGTATGAAACGACTGCTTCAACTGACAACAGAGGACAGATTCCCCAAGAGGAGGAGACCAAAGACAACCTCTAAAATTACTTGACTTCTGCCTGATGATATTTACCAGACCCTAAAGAAAATCAGTCCTGAATATTCACTGGAAGAACTGATGCTTAAGTTGAAGTTCTAATACTTTGGCCACCTGATGCGAAGTACTGACTCATTGGGAAAGACCCTGATGCTGGGAAAGACTGAGGGCAGGAGGAGAAGGGGACGACAGAGGATGAGATGGTTGGATGGCATCACTGACTCGATGGACATGGGTTTGAGCAAGCTCCAGGAGTTGGTGATGGACAGGGAAGCCTGGCCTGCTGAAGTCCATGAGGTCGCAAAGAGTTGGACATGACTGAGCGACTGAACTGAACCACACAGAGGGGTAACTCTAGCAGAACACAGATAACAAGGGCTTCAGCGAGACAGGACACAGAGAATGGAGTAAAGTTGACCGAGGCAGCTGGATCTGTTTTATGGCGTGCTGGAGAAGAGGGATGATACAAAGGTGAGCTTCAAACTATCTCATACACTGAGATGGTGTGAGGGACATAACCTAGAGCACCTCATTTCTTTATGCTTGCTGTTGAGACCTTTATCCGTATTTAACCTGTCACAGCCTTCTATACTCTCACTGGTTGCACTTAACCATCAGCCCTTTCATTTAGTAATTCATATTACTGTTTTTGAGCTCTTAAGGGCCTTTTCCACTTTTGTTTCCTTTGGAGTTTTCCTTAACCTTATAAGTGTATGTAATGGCACGATGTAAAGAAATGGGAATAACTGGGTACCTGGCAGAATTTGAGAGAACATAGGGAACATGGGAAGTGGGGTACCTTGTAGTTTGTATCAAGTGTATGCTATTTCAAAATTTTCTTTTTGCTTCCTATTACAGAATCTTGACTACCATCTAACTCGCAAAACACTATTAACATCAAGAAGCTTTGTATTATGCCAAGTATTGGCAACTTAAAGTTCTATAATAGAACTTTTAAGAGCCACTCTAAGATAACCCTTTTATTGGTTTCATCCTTCATCTACCAAAAATCTTTGTGGTAGAAACTGTCACTGTAGTTTAAAGGAGAATGATCTCAATTTACTTGAACTATTTTTTTCTAAATCTTGTGTTTCTATAAATCCTAAATGTTACATCCTTTAACTGCTGATTGGTGGCTTCGTCGCTAAGTCGTGTCCGACTCCTGCGACCCCACAGACTGTAGCCTGCGAGGGTCATCTGTCCACGTTAACTGCTGATTATTACTGACTAAATTCTTAAGTAACAAGAAAATGCATTTTTTTCTAAAAGTTCTACTATTTTTCAAGAAAACAAATGGAGCCATCAACAAACAAAGTGCAATTTTTCCCCTAGGATGCGGTAATTAGAAAAAATAACCAAAACAGAAAATACAATTATTATAAAAGCTAAAAATGAAAATCTGCAAAGGTGTCCCTTTGAGCCTGAAAGTAAATATTAAGCTGCAAAAAAGTAGAATGAGATTCCTCAAGGTTAGGAAAAGACTAACTGCCTAGGACCTACAAACTGCACACCTCCTGGAGCTCCTGTAGGGCTGGAAAACATGCATCTTTTGCTATCAGAGTGAAGAGGTCTTACTGAACGTATAAACTCTTCAGAGGAGAACCTAGGAAGGCTGGCAAATTAGAAATAAAGTTGGACGAGGCCTAGAATTAAGGTTCCCTGAAAAGGGAGGATAGGCACAAAAATTATTTGAAGATATAATGCTCAAAATTTTTTCAAATTTTATATAAACCATTAGCCTACAGATCTGAAAAGTACACTGGAACTGAAACAGGATAAGCATAAAGAAAGTCATACCATGGCACAATATATTCAAACTGCTGGAACCCAATGATAGGGAGAACAATCTTAACAGTGGCCAGAAAGGAAGCAGTAATATTGGATATAGGGGAGAAAAGATGTAAGAATTCCCTGGATATACCATTAGAACTAATGCAAG